CCATGTCCAATCACCTTCCAACTGACATCAGAATCTCAGTATCAGATCACCCTCACACTAATGAAAGGTGCATGTGTGCGTGTGGGTTTTTTGCCTTGTGGTCTGAGGCATCATTGTTCGCAGGGGAGAGTTGTGTCCCTTGGAGACACCAGAAACCAGTGATCACAGGGTTGAAGCCTGGTTCATGCTGGTCTAAGACCTGCAACACTCCATTCTTAGCTGACATGATGTGATGTATAACTGGGAGACGATTCAAAGGTTCTAAACCCAGCTCATTAGTAGCTGCAACGATTCATCGAAAATCGAATCTGACACCTTAGTTTCGATTTTCGATAACCATTATCACTATTTCGAATCAATATTTGAATACCTATTTAAATTATTTCCACACAGCCAGAATGTAATTTTGACTCCAACTGGAGCAGTTTCAAGTGTTAAAATAGGGCAAAACGTGATTGGTGGACGCCAAGCAAATTATCCAATGAGAATTGTTGTTAGCAGACAACGCTAAGTTGACGATGGATTTCATGCTCTAAAAGCTGAATTGGAGAGTTAAATGAAATCTGATGTTTTTACATGTATGAAGAATTGAATCGAAAATGATTGATTCGAGGGTCCAATATCGAAACTTGGATCGAATCAAGGTCTGGTTGAATCGTTGCAGCCCTACAACTCACTCACTCATAATCAGTTAACATGTTACTAGTAACTCAGGAATCTTGGTATGGGTTCATCTTCTCAGCTGGCCAGTGTGTCTGTGATGGACATTAGTGATGTAATCAGGCCCTCAGTCATGTCCACTCTGTAATGGTCCACTGCCTCAGCTGGACCTCCAGGTCTGTGCTCGACTGGTCACTGACTGGTCAAGGTAGACAGCCAGGACTGCCCACTTAGTCAGGCCAGCTTGCTGTTATATCAGAATACCTTCTAATCAGACCCAGAATATCCAGACAGTTCCTATATTCCTTACATGTATTTGGGATATGAAGATTTGTTTCATTTGATGAAGTGAACTTCTTGGTTCTGTTCTGTTGTTTAATTAGATATCATATAAGAATTTTACAGAATATCAATTACTTATCTTTCAGAGATTAAAGATTAGTCTTTAGCCACAATACAGTGGAAGCTGTCTAAACCGGCACTCATCGGGACTGAAGAAATAATCGGTTTAGACAGCATGCCAGATTGTAGAGCTGACACAGTTACCTACAACTAGAACTGGACCAACTGTGTCACTCTCATATACATTGTTGTATCACATGGTTGTCTCAACTACTGCACACACTGACAATAGAACATGTCAAATCACTAATTACATGTACAAGTATACCCATACTGAACTAAGATTAAATTATCTTTGTCGGCAACCATGTAGTTGTAACGCAGGATTAATTAGTGACAACTTGAAAACTTATATTTTATTTTGAAGTAAATGCTGAACTATTGCCAATTCGGTACTTCTGTAAAATGATTGTTTGTTTGGCCGAGTTTATAGTGGCTGCAATGAAGACATGTTTACCCTCCCTTTCTTTGTTTATAGTCAATACTATATGAAAACAAACAGTTTCTAATGTACTATTTGGTGGGAATAGTGATATGCTGTTTCTTGATCCCTCTGATTTGAAAATATGCATTGCAAAGAAACGACATTTAACAGGATAAGATGAAACACATGAGATAGCCGGTCCTCTCTGATTATTACATATGTGTGTGTGACCATGTGGATGGTAATATCTAAGTTATCCAACATTTACTGCATCAACAGTCAGTATTTATGAAGCTATTGGTTACGTAAGTCCAGCTCCTCTGGCTGTCACATGACCACTGTGCGACCACTGGGTCACACACACACGTATGTCACCGGCACACTGACCACGCTGACCACACTGCCGGACTGTTGTAGTAACTCTAACAATGGCGAATCCAACAACAGGAGTTGTCACGATGTCCACCATCACGATTCTCATCAGGTAAAATGTAGGGATGGTGTTATGTTAGACAAACTTGTCTCAGAAAATAAGTTATTTTCATAGAAACAAGAAACTATGTTTAAGTTGAAAAGGAATCCCTGTGAGACTGGATATGAATCTGTGAAAAATCCAAACTTGTTTCATCCAGGGCTGTAAGATCACATTGTGGGCTGGGCAGAAGGGAAAATAATATGGTTCAGGGACGAGCAGACATACTACTGTTATTTGGTAAAACTGAACCCAAGATCTATGTGATGTTTATGTGTTGTGAATATTACTTCACGTATTGTTCACAACAATATGTCAGATCACACTACTTCTATATATATCTTCAGGCATGGAGCAGTAAGGAAGGATAACAATATATGGATGAACAACTTCTTTATTGCTGTGAGAGCGACGTTTCAGTGTTTCGGCAATAAAGACGTTGTTCATCCATATATTGTTATCCTTCCTTACTTCCCAACTGCTAAATGCCTCTCAAAGAAGTTATGGAATTTTTTTCATTTTGAATGGTTTTGTGGTATGTTAGTGTTTGATGAACACTGTCCTGGCAGCCTTGTGGTTAAAGTGTCGACTATTCATGATTGCCAACATGGGTACTTATGGTTACTGTGATATATGATATGTCTGGAGTGTGATGGTTTATGGACACTGTCGGGCAGCCTTGTCTGGAGGTTAAAGTGTGTGACTAAATTTGACTATTCATGATTGCCAACATGGGTACTTACGGTTACTGTGTATGATATGTCTGGAGTGTGATGTTTGATGAACACTGTCGGGGCAGCCTTGTGGTTAAAGTGTTGACTATTCATGATTGCCAACATGGGTACTTATGGTTACTGTGTATGATATGTCTGGAGTGTGATGTTTGATGAACACTGTCGGGGCAGCCTTGTGGTTAAAGTGTTGACTATTCATGATTGCCAACATGGGTACTTATGGTTACTGTGTATGATATGTCTGGAGTGTGATGTTTGATGAACACTGTCGGGGCAGCCTTGTGGTTAAAGTGTTGACTATTCATGATTGCCAACATGGGTACTTATGGTTACTGTGCATGATATGTCTGGAGTGTGATGTTTGATGAACACTGTGGTTAAAGGGGCAGCCTTGTGGTTAAATGTTGACTATTCATGATTGCCAACATGGGTACTTACGGTTACTGTGTATGATATGTCTGGAGTGTGATGTTTGATGAACACTGTCGGGCAGCCTTGTTAAAGGTTAAATTGCCAACATGTACTTACGGGTTTGATGAACACTGTCGGGGCAGCATTCATTGATGATTGCCAACATGGGTATTCATGATTGCCAACATGGGTTATGGTTGTGTATGATATGTCTGAGGTGATGTTTGATGAACACTGTCGGGCAGCCTTGTGGTTAAAGTGTTGACTATTCATGATTGCCAACATGGGTACTTATGGTTACTGTGTATGATATGTCTGGAGTGTGATGGTTTATGGACACTGTCGGGGCAGCCTTGTGGTTAAAGTGTCGACTATTCATGATTGCCAACATGGGTACTTACGGTTACTGTGTGCATGATTATGTCTGGAGTGTGATGTTTGAGGAACACTGTCCGGGCAGCCTTGTGGTTAAAGTGTTGACTATTCATGATTGCCAACATGGGTACTTATGGTTACTGTGTATGATATGTCTGTCTGGAGTGTGGTTTGATGAACACTGTCGGGTTAAAGTATTGCCTTGTGGTTAAAGTGTTGACTATTCATGATTGCCAACATGGGTACTTATGGTTACTGTGTATGATATGTCTGGAGTGTGATGTTTGATGAACACTGTCGGGGCAGCCTTGTGGTTAAAGTGTTGACTATTCATGATTGCCAACATGGGTACTTACGGTTACTGTGTATGATTATGTCTGGAGTGTGATGTTTGATGAACACTGTCGGGCAGCCTTGTGGTTAAAGTGTTGACTATTCATGATTGCCAACATGGGTACTTACGGTTACTGTGTATGATTATGTCTGGAGTGTGATGTTTGATGAACACTGTCCGGGCAGCCTTGTGGTTAAAGTGTGGTTAAAGTGTCGACTATTCATGATTGCCAACATGGGTACTTATGGTTACTGTGCATGATTATGTCTGGAGTGTGATGGTTTATGGACACTGATTAGTGCTGCTTAGAACAAATCATCTAATCATGTGAAGTCAGATTAGATGTGATTGAATATGTACAATGTTAATATTTCATCACTGAAAGGCATTGGAGATGAATGGCAGTATCACGTACTCATTTACCAAGGAATATACTCCGGACCAATTTACCTTTTGTCCAATCAAGCACTTCATTTAACTGGTGGTTTTGAATATTTGAACTGAAGGAGCAAGCATACACTCTGAAACGTTGTGTTATTCACAACAAAGAAGTTGACATCCATAAATCTTGCTTTTCTTATGCATTCCACTTCTAAATGCCTTTCAAAGGTTTGAAAATTACTTATATGTCATACAGTTACACACAATACAAATACCGCATACTGGAGATGATGTCAAGGAGTCTGTTTTCTCTGTGTGTTGACAGGGAAATATTCTCTGCTATAATCCTTGTTAATGTCTTCAAATCAATAATCCCTATATCAGATTAAGTCCAAGCACTTCCAAAAGTTGATAGCTATCTCTCAGCAATATTCCAACGATATTGTGGCAGTCTGTAAATAATTGAGTCAGACAATCCATGATGACATGTGTCAACCAAGTCAGCGAGTCTTACCACCCAATCTTGTTAGTCGCTTCTTACGACAAGCACGGGTTACTGAAGAATAATTCTAACCTGGATCTTCACTGGTCACTATCTCTTTTGAGGAGCAGTGGGTTGGTGTGTTGACTAAGGCATTCACCATCATCAGCCCAGCCCAAAGTGTCTAATTGAAAAGATTTGATTCACACTTACTGACACAGCCAAGTTTCCAGATGCTAGTCCCCTAAATCTGTAACTGTTCAGACATTTTTTAGAGAAGACTAAAGAGTCATACACAGTTCTAATGAATGATTTTTCCTTTCCAGTGAGGATGATCTTATGTCCTTGAATACACCCCCTGCATCAGGGAAGACTGGCAACAGACAAGTGAAGAAACACCCTGCCGCCCGTGTGTTGGCAGATCAGTTGGACGGAGCGTCAGGGGAGACGACTCACATCAACAATGTAGACAACATCCTCAAGTGTAGTCCAGGGAAGGTGAGCAAGGGAAGACCACTCTGTACCCCAGCCCTGTATACCATCTCTTGTGCTTATGTCAACTTGCAAGTTGTCCTGTTGGTACTAACTTTCATATATTGGGCTAAGAATCAGAGGTTTAATGGCTGATCAAGGATGTCCAAGAATTTGGTTAATTAATTCATAAACTAAAATTGTATCAAGTATTTTCTTAAGGAATGTCTTTTTTTATCATTTCATATTTGGGAAATTTTCATGTTTCCCATACCATGTAATATTCAAGTAAATATTTGAGTTTTGGAGTGGAAAAAATGACAGTAGTTTCAGCATGAGTTTCTGAGCCATATGTAAATCTCTATGTCTTTAGCCTTCATTGTGATTGCCAAGATTTCTTGGGATAAGGATGCACCTGAGACAAATGTTCATTTTCACTGATTGGGCCCCTCCAGTTTGGTTTTGGGACGAGAGTGCCTGAGCTTCAGTTCCATGATGCATCCTCCTCCTCTCTCCCCGTTGCCATGGGTGACTCATGGGTGGAGCAGATCCACAACTACACGGAGATAGAGGACTCGAACCCAGGATTGTCCCAAGATTCGCTAGACGCCTTCCCATGGTGCCAAGCTTATGAAGCAGATGCAGGCGGTTTGATGCCGCACAGCGGGGACACACAAATGAATCTTGATCACGATGTGCGTAAGGGTTACCCAGCATGCCTAGTACCGCAGCATGGCCGCCCATCATGTGTGAACCGCTGCCATCAGCTTCTGTGACCTGGGACAGTCCATCCATGTTGCCTGGCTCATCCAAAACAGCTTGTTTAGTTTGTAGAGTTAGCCGTGTGATTGTTCCCGTTGTTTGCGTTGTGGCATCTGGACATGATTAACCCTTTAACCTCTGTAGGAATGTGTGGACACTAATCAATATGCCTTTTATCAATGGAATAACTGTTTTTTTAAGGCTTGAACTAATACAGATTCCTTGTGAAGAGTATGTGTCATCTCACAAGTCAGGAGTTTGAGGAGAGCATTGATGGTGATGAAACCCAATCTGACGTGTGTGTGCAGGCACGCGTGCATGTGTGTGCATGGGCATCTGTGCATGAGTGTGCAGGTGTGGGGAATTGTGTGTGTATGCAGTTGTGTGCATCTGTGTGTATGTGTCATCATAACCCAGTGACATGGATTGTAGCTCATGCAGTCGACCTCTGGTTTGTCTAGACTCAGTTATAACCAGGACACGGCTGTCAGCATCGCCTGTCTGTCAGGTTCAAGCTGCAGAGCATGAAGCACAGTTCGGTGCATCTGCAGCAGGAAGATAAAACCTGTTCCACCTGGATCACAGAGGTCAAGCCCCTCCTCTGTGTCATCACACTGCAGGGTCCAAGTCCTGAAATCATACACACATCTCTGTACCCACTGATCATCAGTGTTACAGTGTAATCAAGATGTTATCGTGTAATCGAGATGTTATCGTGTAATCAAACTGTTACAGTGTAATCGAGATCTTGTGTAATGAATATGAAGTGCAGAGTCCACCCAGAGTTTGGTTGTCAAATACTCAATACCAACACACCACTTTTATACACACAATATCAATGTTTTTAAGTTGAACCTTCCAAGATTGCTGATAACCACTCACACACTAGTAACACTTTCTGTGTATGTGTAGTCAGACAGCTATGATTGAGATGATTTTGGAATGCAATGTCAATGCTTTTTGTATGACACCATTTCTCTGTAATTCCAAGGTTAATAGAAGACAGCTCTTTAATTTAGCAAGTGTCTCATTGTCATGCGTTTGATCAAGTACAGTTTCTATATCAGGAGGCACGGCTGGCCCAGCCTGAAGAGCTGCAATTTGCTGTTAAGAGTTGCGTCCCTTGGCTGCACTTTAAACTGATGATTGTGGATTTGACTCAGGATTTACCATGATTACGATCTTTGATTTCTCCCCCATACTAGTGCTTCACCAATGTGTTAAACATTTGAGACTTTTCTCCCACATTAAGCTGACATGAAACCAAACTCACTCAAGTTGTTACTGAGATTTGTTGGGGCGGTGGGGTAGCCTTGTGGTTAAAGCATTCGTCACGCAGATGACCCGAGTTTGATTCCCCACATGGGCACAATGTGTGAAGCCCATTTCTGGTGTCCCCCGCCGTGATATTGCTGGAATATTGCTAATAGTGGCGTAAAACCATACTTACTCACTCATTCATTGAGATTTGTACCATGTCTGAACAAAGTACAGTTGGGTATATTGAAACTCTGTGACTCCAGGCCCCGGATGTCCTGTAAACTCACCTTCCATATTGTTTGAAATTTGTTAACAGTGATTGTGTCCCTTAACATGGTGTTATCTGGATTAAGCAGGTTGTGTTGTTCTCCATCCACAGAGCGATAGCGGGTTAGCGGACATGAACCAGTCCATGGGGGACTCCACCAAGGAGGCGGTGGTCCAGCTGGTGCAGGTGAGCTAACAGTCACATGTGTCGGTCACATGACAGTCATGTGACAGATTTGTACTCCACCTAAAATCCTCCTAGTTTTTGTAATACTGATAAGCTTTGTCATTAATTAAAGTGAACTTTTCTGCTATAAATCTTGGAAGATTTGCTTTATTTTTCTGCTTAAACGTTTTGGGGTAACATGCATGCATGCAGATGCTTGGTTGTAAAGTTAAGTACATATCTTTGATCTTGTTATTTTTTTAAAATTGGGCTTTTACAGTTCCACCTCACTCATTATTTTACATTTGTGCAAATAATTCATAAATATTTTGGACAGAGAATTATTGTTTGTAAAGAATGAGCCTGATGTCTGTCCCACAGTCTGATATAAAGGTCTTGTGTCTTGCTTACCACCATACAACCAAATCTCTATACACCCTATACAAGCATCTACATTAGCCCTCTTGAATGAATGTAATTATTTCCACATGAATTATATACATGTATACTTGATCTTGCCTGTTGTTGCATGATGGGGCAACTCACTAGTCAACCTATAGAATATCCCTGAATAAGTTTCTTAAAACATGATATTATCATGATTATTATTATTTTTAGTCCTCTGGATGCTTAAAACATTAATCCACTGACAAAGAATAATGCTGACTGATGTGTAAATGATAATGATGAAAGTAACAAAATCCTGCTTTACGTGCTTTTGACCAGACATCATTTAATTACTAGGAAGACAAGTAACAAAATCGTCAGACCCTGTTCATAGACCGTTGTATTATTTTTTCTTAACAGGTTTTATTTTGGTGCCTACGTTTTTGTGTTGAATTACACATGGGGAATATGTGACATAAGTCTTTTGAGGTTCACACAATAATTGAAAATCATAAAAAAACTTTTATAAGAATAAACAGGATGTAACATGCCATCATGGTTGTCTCAAGTGATGAAGACTTATGTTGAATTCCCTATAATGAGTGTCTGGTGATGCAGACTTGAAGCAAATGACAGTAAATCAAATTCACAAAATTAAGACTAGTTAATATAAATGGCTAATACTGTTTTAAAATGGTTGAGAACATTGATTTTTTATTTCTGGATGAGAAATGCTTCTACATCACCAGACATGAGTCAGGAACTACATAAACTAACCTATCTCTTTTGTTTCCCCACCGGCTTTAAGGGCAAAACTGAGAGTGTACAGGTAATGCGGATGTTTCACTTCCTTTGTGTTGTGTTGTGGTTGTTGTTGATGGCGCCACCGTCACTGCCGATGTTGTCCCTGTGTCTAGGTGGTAGTGTGGGGGCGGGTACCCGGAAGGAGGCAAGCACCCAGGCACTACAGATACACTGGCTTACACACAAAAACCTGTTTACCATTTGTTGATTGGTTTTAACAGGGTTTTGAAATTCATATTTCATCTTGATGACTGGTGGCATTTTATGTCAGCTTGGCAAGGTAAATGCATTGTACAGTTAAAATATATTCGTTGTATTTTTGTGGGTAACTGTATTATAACATGGTGCTGCTTGACGTGTGCAAAGAAAATGGATTTGTGATTTAATTGCTTTCACTAATATTAAGAACATGTTTTGGGCTAAAGTTCAAAGATTAAGTTGGAGGATAGTTCATGAAGTGTCCGCATTGAAGGATACAAATCTTCTAATACTACTAATATACCAGTAATATACAAGTAATATACCAGACAGTTACAGACCAGTAACATATCAGTAACATACCAGTCAGTAATGTACCAATGATATACCAGTAATGTACAAGGTATGAACAGTAATATGCCAGTGTATGTACCAGTAATGTACCAATGATATACCAGTAATGTACCAATGATATACCAGTAATGTACAAGGTATGAACAGTAATATGCCAGTGTATGTACCAGTAATGTACCAATGATATACCAGTAATGTACCAATGATATACCAGTAATGTACCAGTAATGTACAAGGTATGTACCAGTAATGTACCAGTAATGTACCAGTAATACACTGGTGATACACAAGTAGTATGTCAGAACTACACCAGTGATAGTTATGCTATTAATATACTAGTAACATGCCAGTACTGTTCAGTATAACAGAAATATATCACCAATGGTACTTTGCATCACATGTTGGGATTAATTAAAGCTTAATTGATTCAAACAGATTTTTGTTTCCTTGGTTTAGAGTCTTTTCTTAAAGGTAATCTTGGTATGCTCACTCTAGTATACCCACTGTGAGTGAGCTGGAATATCCAACAGCACAAAACAACCGACATTTCTCGAAGCCAGTGAATTTGTATGTCTCCCTTCACCTTGATCTGAGAATGATGTAGCACAATGGGTGTGACCTGTAGCTAGGTGGGTGTGACCTGTAGCTAGGTGGGTGTGTCATGCAAGTAGCCCCACTCCGTCCTCCCCATCCCTAGCAGCTGCAACCCACTAATTCATTTCAGCTTTTTGTTTTTCCTCTTCCCTTTCAGGACATTTGTCTTTTGGATGAAGCACACACTTCCATATGAATATTGTTGGTTTTATATTTGTGTAGAGTAAATACACTGTTGTAGCAAGTTCTTAATGGGACAATGCTGCCTTGTGTTATGTAAGCTAACCCAAACTGTTCATCTGATGTTTGGTCCACTGTTCCTCAGTGGATGATGAATATTAAAACAACAGTTTAAGGCCTGCATCTGTTTGATGCAAGCATCTTTATTTTTCACATTATGCATTTCATTTCAAACAGTTTATGCTATGCATTTGCTTGCTCAATATTTGTTGAAAATATTTTTTCTTATGCTTTGTTTGGTTTAGATTAGAATGCATGGGAATGGAGGATGTTTGTTTTTGCATTATTTCAGACTCAGCTGTCTGTTGCCCATGTAGATTCCTCGAAGTCAGTGTTTGTTGATGATTCTCAAATTATTGTGATTTATTTTGCAATATTCTTAACATGATCAGCTTGCATACAGCAGCTTCAGTTTATGCAGCATTGTTGTAAACTTTAAGCAAACATTGTTCTTCTTTACTGGTTTTATCAAAGTGTTGGATATAACATTAGGAGTAGTATCATGTGGGACATGTGTCATCTCACATCAGATTTTTATACACTGGTGTGTATAACACATAAAGACTGGTGTGTGTGACATAATAACACTGGAGGTATATGACATAGAAACATGTGTGTATGACATGTATAAACACTGTACTACTGTACATCATTGATATTTGAAAGCAAATGCTTTTATGACAAGTATTTAGCATGGAATAGTTCAGATGAAAAATTTAAATAGAGTTTACATCTAGGATATATTTGAAGTATGTTGTTCTTCAGGCTTGAGGAAAGTAACTCAAGTCTATCGGTTTAACTTTCTCAATGTGCAGACACGTCTTGACACTGCCATCAGTTAACACTTCCTCAATTCCTCAATGTACAGACACGTCTTGACACTGTCATCGGTTAACACTTCCTCAATTCCTCAATGTACAGACACGTCTTGACACGTCATGGGTTATGGAAAGTAGTACGAGAATTTTACAAATAATGCAAGATATATTTTGTATTGCACTCCTTCATTTGCTTCATTAGACATTCACATGCAGTTATTATATACAAATGATTGCCTTGATTCTTGTTATGATTGACCCTAACTCTGAATGGATAGTACAGGTAATCTACCATCGTATGGTGTCAGTAAATGTATGTATGTTAGATAGGATGTGAGCTGAATGTGACATTGTAGTGAGGATTAAATTAGTCAGCAGAAAGTGTTGATGCTGGTGTTCATGAAGGTCTACCAAGTACCGCATGTATTAGTGCATCAGAAAGTCCTTGCTTGGGGAGATATTTGTAACTGACTGACAACTGGTTTCATTATTCACTACAAGTCAACATGTTTGTCATAAATGATGTGTCGTGATTATAATCATCATCCCTGAGCTTCCATTCACTTGTCATGAGGGTGGTGGGGTAGCCTAGTGGTTAAAGTGTTCGCTCGTCACGCCGAAGACCCGGGTTCGATTCCCCACATGGGTACAATGTGTGAAGCCCATTTCTGGTGTCCGCCGTGATGTTGCTGGAATATTGCTGAAAGCGACATAAAATCATACTCACTCACTCACTACTTGTCATGAACTAATTCATGTAATTTGACAATGCCAACAGATTGTGCAGAACATGGTTGTTGTTTGTAGTTTGTACTGACAAACATGGCCTAGTGTCAGCATTAGTGTTGAATGTGAATATTCTGTTGGAAGGACTTGTTCTGACAGGTGTTTACAGGGAACAAGGTAGGGCACTTGAAGGCAGTGCATGACTGGACCAGCTGAAGACAGTATTAGAGACTTAACATTAAGTTGTGGGTGAAGGGAGGTAATTGAGTGTATCATAGGAGGAATTGTCATGGAGTGTTCAGGAGATTGGACAAGGGAGGTAACTACGTGTTCAGCAGAGTGATCAAGGGAGGTAACTGAGGTTTGTTGTGCAGGTGCTGAAGTACTCGCAGACAGACTGGAACAAGATGAAGCAGGACCTGGAGCTGAATTTCCAGGCACAGCTGCTACAGAAGGAGAAGGAGTGGAGCAAGAAGCTTGCCGCCGTGAGAAGAAGATGGGCTACGTTGAGGAGAACAACCGTGGGCTCAAGCAGACCAGTGAGGAGATGAAGTAAGTGGTGCAACACTGAAACTGAACAAACTTCCTTTGTCTGTCTGAGATAAGGGAGTTGAATAGATCCAAACATTTGGTGTTTGACTTGAGGATTGGGTGGTTTGTCCTTGTTTGGCGTAAGATTGGATGGTCTCTTGGTGTCACACTTTGGGGTTTGGGTGATATGTTCTTGTGTTATGCAAGACTTGCAGGTTTGAGTTGTCCTTCAAAATTTGATGTACATACTTCAACATTGTGAAACATTTGAAATACTTTGCCAGCCCCAGTGTAATTATCATGTTGCAGCTGTGCTGCTAACAGCAATATTGTTGACTGCATGTGACTTAACACAATAACACAGGCGAACATCCACTGCTAGTAGAGACAGGGATCATAACATGTCATGATACAAGTTGACTCTGTGATACGAGGTGACACGAGGTGACACAGAGCTACAAGGTGATACAATGATACAAGGATACAAGGTGACACAATCATACAAGATACTACTGTTATCTTTATAGTAGTTTATCAGTCTAGACCCCATTACTCTGGCTATCAGGAAAAGTGTGAAATGATCTACAGAACATGGGATAGTTTTTGGTGATTGTAAGCTTGCTTTATTCTTTTACAGAGCAATTGTGTCTGAATTCGAGAAGACAATTTCTCAGCTGCAAGGTAAGTTGGAGGGTTAATTATGATAGACTTTGATAATGGGGGCTCAATTATCTAAGGCTCCATAATTTGTTGTCTAGAGTTGCATCCCTTGGACATGCCAGAGACTATGATCGTGAGCTGAAATCCGAGTTCACCCTGCATCATGTCTGGTTCTCCTTCTACTTCAAGATGATTTACTATGATGTAGCTGGAATATAGCTGACTCTCTATGTGTTACACATATATATGTGTGTATGTAAGTGTGGTATATGTGTGTATGTTTGCGTGCTATATATGTGTGTGAGTGAGTGTGTGTATGTGTTATATATATATATGTGTGTGAGTGTGTATGTATGTTATATATGTGGGTATTTGTATCATTTATTTATGTGGGTATGCATCATGTATATGTCTATGTGTATGTGTGTTATATATGTGTGTGTTACATATGTCTGTGTATGTGTGTTACAGCGGAGAAGGAAAAGACGTGTAACGCGTCTCAGCAATCGCTGCAGGACATTGTTCGGGAAAAGGAGCAGGTGCTTGATGACCTTCACTCCGTGGAAACGGCCTTCTCCAACCTGCATCAGCGGTATGAGAAGACCAAAGGCGTTGTGGAGGGATTCAAACAGGTTGGAACCATCTCAATATGTTGTCTTGTTATACTGAATTGAAATTCATTCTGAGCAAACACAATTTGTAAATGTATTCATTCATTACATGTCTACAATCCTGCCACTTTGAGGACAATGATGTCATATCAATAGAAGGTTAAATAAAAAATCGTAGTCTAGCATGGAGCTTTTTCAAACTTTTTCTGTGATTATTTTCATTCATTAGGAACAGCACACTTTAAATATGTTTTAGGCTGCTGTAGCATGAAAGTGAGATCATTCTTCATACATGATGCATCAAATAGCTGGTTATGCCTTGACTTTGTTTACAGAATGAAGAAGTGTTAAAGAAATGTGTAGCAGATTATCAAGCCAAGTTGAAAAAGTCAGAACAAAAGTTACAGTTGTTAAAACAGCAAGCAGAAGAAAAATTAGACCAGTAAGTATACTTTAGATATGAGTGCACACTGAATTACCAGCAAAATATAAATATTTTCAGTTGTGTCTTAATATAGTTTCTGACATGTTCGCAGTAGATATCTGATGACGATATCACTTTAGGATTACAAATGTCATATTAATCTACATGGATCACATAAATATATTCTAAACGAGGAAGTAAATTCAAGAGAAGGATTTCATTGCCAGGAAGAAAACATTTTCAGTGTGTACAACATGGATGCAATGTGTGAAGCCCATTTCTGGTGTCTCCTGCTGTGATATTACTGGAATATTGCTACAAGCAGTGTAAAACCAAACTCGACCAGAGTAGCATATGTAGGAGCTACTTTTGTTCCCATGGCTGTACCGTTTATTTGCTCATAAAATTTGTTGTTGAAAAAAATAAAGAAAAAATGATAATAATAAAACCCAACTCATTCACTCTTTTTGTTATGCTGACACTCATGACGGCACCACTGCCTGACTTTGTTGTGCTCCCAGACTGACGACTGTGTTGTGCTTCCTGACTGAGGACTGTGTTGTGCTCCCAGACTGAGGACTGTGTGGTGCTCCCAGACTGACGATTGTGTTGTGCTCCCTGACTGACGACTGTGTGGTGCTCCCAGACTGACGACTGTGTGGTGCTCCCTGACTGACGACTGTGTGGTGCTCCCAGACTGACGACTGTGTGGTGCTCCCTGACTGACGACTGTGTGGTGTTCCCTGACTAGTGTGTTGTGTTGCAGTGCTAACTTGGAGATTGAAAAAGAGAGGAAGGGCCACATGTCAGAAATGGCACGGCTACAGGCTGGCCTCAAGAAGGCCGAGCTACAAATATCAAGTCTGGAGAAGAGCTTAGAACAAAAGGTAGGACTTTCAGACACATAAGTTGTCATGGAGAGTGAAAGCGAGAAGTTGTCATATATAAATTATTTCAAGTTTAAAAAGTCGTGAAAGTTAGAGGCACAGAGTGGCCATTAGTGGTCAGAGCTGAAGACATTCCACAACACCAGAGTTACCACATATCTCATCCCACAGGGGCTTCACTTTCCATATTGAGTAACTCCATCCACATGTTGGGCTGCATGGTATAGCCCAGTTGTCTGAGATGCCGCAGTTCTTTGTGCAGAGTTCACATCACGCTCTCCTACATAACTAGGCTGTCTCTGATAAGACTGGATGGCTGTTAAAATCAGAATTAACTCGCTCAACGACTTAATTTATTATGTTTACATTTTGTTCACTGAAGCCTTTTCCATGTGCATACAACCATATTCCGTAAAGGCAACAGGTGTGGAAGAACGTGTTTTGCTTGATTTAGTTGTTTAATGTGCTATGATAGTTTTATGTGTCTAAAATATGGTAATTTGTTTACAACAGGTGAAGGAGAATCAGGAATTGACAGCAATTTGTGATGAGCTGATTTCTAAAGTTGGTGTTGAGTAGCTTCATCCATGACAATCTCAGTGGTGAGTACCTGCCCATGCTTGTTGGGTGTCAGATGCTTGTTGGATGTCAGAAGCTTGTTGGGTGTCAGAAGCTTGTTGGGTGTCAGAAGCTTGTTGGGTGTCAGATGCTTGTTGGGAGTCAGAAGCTTGTTGGGGGTCAGATGCTTGTTGGGAGTCAGCTGTGAACGACACAGAATACATAGGCAAACACTCAATTGATTTAATAGAGGAAGGGGGGCAACTCCGTCTGGCTTAACAATGCATCTGTTGGTTTCCAGTTGCATTGATCAGACCGAATTTCCAAAACTGGAGCAAATAATTTGGATAAGATTTTGATGTACCGTATATTACATTACCATAGGTAAGCCATTCTCAGATAAGCTGATATAAGCAGTATGTATTTTATATCTACTTACTTAAAGTTTTGCGTCCACTTTTTTAAGTTTAGATTCTTCAAGTTAGAGGTTTACATGTACTTATTTTAGTGAACAAGTCTACTTGATAGTTATATTTCTAGTTTTTTAAGTTATGCTCATACATTTATGTATTGAAGTTGAACTTCATGTGCAGTTAGTAAGTAGGTTATGACATTGATTTTAAGGTTAATATGTAATTATTTACTATTGAACTCACATACTGAGTCTCCATGCTGTTTTATCATTTTCAATTATGCAGAATACACCTGAGATCTGAATCACTTCAGGATTTCATCCCACATTAACTTCACAATAATGTGGACTTCATTTTCAGGGGTGATATGGTAGTCTAGTGGTTAAAGCATTCATTCGCTATGCCAAGGACCTGCGTTTAATTCCCTGCATTGGAACAATGTGTTGAGTCCATTTCAGGTGCCCCCTGTCGTGCCATTGCTGGAACGTTGCTTAATTTGATGATTTTCATCTTTCCTTGTAGCTTTTGTTTTAATAATGAAATATCATCATTGCAGGTAATTCTGAGGTTAAAGGGGCGGTGGGGTAGTCTAGTGGTTAAAGTGTTGGCTCGTCACGCCGAAGACCCGGGTTCTAATCCCCACATGGGTACAATGAGTGAAGCCCATTTCTGGTGTCCCCCCGCCGTGATATTGCTGGAATATTGCTGGAATATTGCTAAAAGCGGCGTAAAACCAAACTCAGTCAGTCAGTCTGAGGTTAAAGATGTTTTCACTTGTATGTTACAGAGAGATGCAATCAAACCACAGGGTGCTGCTGTATGGAGGCAGGCTATCATATCACACATAGATCACACACTGTTGGCAGTACTTAATCACAGTCAGTTGGGAGAATCATTTACAGCCAGGATCTACAGCAACGGAGTTCATTGTTATCTTCTTCAGCCGTATCTACTTCGGATCTCATCCACGTGAAGGAGAAACGTCCGTCTTCATGGAGACATTTGTATGAGAGGATATTGTTGTCTGGCTGTGAGATCATGTATGTCGCTCCATATACCTATAGTGTGTACTAATTCTTCAGGAAACATCAACGTGTGTAACTGCTTTTTTACCCAGTACAGCCATGGAAGCATGGATGTTTAAACAGATACTTTGTGAAGAATTCTCAACCAGTGGCTTGCTTGTGAACATCGCTCTTGTAGAGTCATCACTGCATTTTAGGAAAAGGTCGTAAAAATCATATGGAAATTATGTGAATTACTGCTTACCCAGGATGGGATCTAGAAGGGCAGCTATGGTCATTGCTTGTACTTTAGGAGTGATGGTTGTTGACACATGTGGCCGACAGACGACAAGACAGTTCTTGCCTTGCTTTCACTGAAGGAGTGATGGTTGGTGGCACTTGTTGCTGACAGACAACAAGACAGTTCTCGCCTTGCTTTCACTGAAGGAGTGATGGTTGGTGGCACTTGTTGCCGACAGACAACAAAACAGTTCTCGCCTTGCTTTCACTGAAGGAGTGATGGCTGGTTGGACATGTGGCAGATGGACAACAAAACAGTTCTCACCTTGCTCTCACTGAAGGAGTGATGGTTGGTGGCACATGTGGCCGACAGACAACAAGACAGTTCTCGCCTTGCTCTCACTAAAGGAATGATGGTTTTGTTCTTGTCTACTTCTCCGCTGACTGGAGTCATGGGGTGGCCATGTGGTTAAAGAGGTCGCTTGTCTTGCCGAAGCCAGAGTTTGATTCCCAACATGGATCCTGGTGATAATGTTAGACTTTTGCTAAAACGCATTGTGGATCCATTCTGTGTCACAGACTCTTCCATCACTCTCTGAATAGTTCTCCAAGTAGGTTTCTCCTGAACTGAGTGACAAGCCTGTTGATGATACTGAAACTTTACTGGTGTAGATGTCCCCTGTGTGTGCGTCATATCAAGGGAGTAATGGCTGTGTGGTCCTCTACTGTGTAATCCTCTGACATCAACAGCAGCAGCTTCAGGACTCCAACACCGACATCATCAGTTGGACAGTGTGTGAAGGGGACAGGATGCTGTGTGGATGACAACAAGGTCATGAGAGCTGGAAGATCCATTTTTCACCATCGACACACATATAATAATTGAATATTTTATGAAGTGAGTGTTCCTTTCGTTTGATTACTTCTGGAAATTATCAGGATATCTTGACATGTGACAAATTTCCCAACAAGAGTAACAGTGTTGGATTTGATCAAGGAGGTAAGGAGTCAAGCTACTCCTGAGTACCACAGTTTGTCCTGATAGTGTCATGTGAGCAAACAGTGTTCAATGAGCTCTTACCATCAGCCAAGTTGTATCGTGTGTCATCTACCATGTATCTGTGTACCATTTGGAGTGGATTTGGTTGTATCCAAAAGACACTGGTGAAAATATCATACCAAGGTTGTACCATGTATAGCGTGTACATTCAATCATAATTACCATGTATCATGTACCAAGTTGATTGGCAAACACTGGTGCCAGTACTTTCTCAAGGTTGTACCATTTGGACGGAGTATGTGTGAGTTAGAAACAGACATAGGGACCATAAGCTTGTACCAGCATGTCAGGTGTGAGGTACAAACATTGAGACAGCTATGTATCAACTTGATAGAGCTGGCTGCAGAAGGGAGCTCAGCATACATCCACTGGATGATCCATTATCAAGATACCTAGATATGTGGCATTGCTGCGTATATGCAGGTATCAGACACTTAGGCATGTAGCATTGCTCTGTGTTTAGAGGCTATCAAGACACCTAGGTATGTTGCATTGTTTTTTCTATAGAGGCTATCAAGACACCTTGATGTGTTGTATTGCTCTTTATACAGAAGCTATCAAGACACCTCAATGTGTTGTATTGCTCCCTATATAGAGGCTATCAAGACACCTAGATGTGTTGTTTTGCTCTTGTATTGAAGCTATCAAGGCACTTGAATGCATGGCATTGCTCTTTATACTGAAGCTATAAAGACACCTAGATGTGTTGTTTTGCTCTTGTATTGAAGCTATTAAGGCACTTTAATGCATGGCATTGCTCTTTATACAGAAGCTATCAAGACAGCTGAATGCGTGGCATTGCTCTTTATATTGAAGCTATAAAGACACCTACATGTGTTGCTTTGCTCTTTATATTGAGGCTATCAAGACACCTGAATGCTTGGCATTGCTCTTTATATTGAAGCTATCAAGACACCAAGACGTGTTGCTTTGCTGTTTACACAGAAGGTATCAAGAACCTGAATGTGTGGTATTCTGTATACAGAAGGTATCAAGACACCTGAATGTGTAGTATTCTGTATACAGAAGGTATCAAGAACCTGAATGTGTGGTATTCTGTTACAGAAGGTATCAAGACACCTGAATGTGTGGTATTCTGTATACAGAAGGTATCAAGACACCTGAATGTGTGGTATTCTGTATACAGAAGGTATCAAGATACCTGAATGTGTGGTATTGTTCTGCATACAGTGGGTATCAAGACACCTGAATGTGTGGTATTCTGTATACAGAAGGTATCAAGACACCTGAATGTGTGGTATTCTGTATACAGAAGGTATCAAGACACCTGAATGTGTGGTATTCTGTATACAGAAGGTATCAAGACACCTGAATGTGTTGTATTGTTCTGTATACAGAAGGTATCAAGACACCTGATTGTGTGGTATTGTTCTGTATACAGAAGGTATCAAGAACCTAAATGTGTGGTATTCTGTATACAGAAGGTATCAAGACACCTGAATGTGTTGTATTTTTCTGTATTCAGTGGGTATCAAGAACCTAAATGTGTGGTATTGTTCTGTATACAGTGGGTATCAAGACACCTGAATGTGTGGTATTGTTCTGTATACAGAAGGTATCAAGAACCTAAATGTGTGGTATTGTTCTGTATACAGAGGGTATCAAGACACCTGAATGTGTTGCATTGTTCTGTATACAGAAGGTATCAAGAACCTAAATGTGTGGTATTCTGTATACAGAAGGTATCAAGACACCTGAATGTGTTGTATTGTTCTGTATACAGAAGGTATCAAGACACCTAAATGTGTGGTATTGTTCTGTATACAGAAGGTATCAAGAACCTAAATGTGTGGTATTCTGTATACAGAGGGTATCAAGACACCTGAATGTGTGGTATTGTTCTGTATACAGAAGGTATCAAGAACCTAAATGTGTGGTATTCTGTATACAGAAGGTATCAAGACCCCTGAATGTGTGGTATTGTTCTGTATACAGAAGGTATCAAGACCCCTGAATGTGTGGTATTGTTCTGTATACAGAAGGTATCAAGACACCTGAATGTGTGGTATTGTTCTGTATACAGAAGGTATCAAGACACCTGAATGTATTGCATTGCTCTGCATGTACATAGAGGTTACCAAGACTCCTAGATGTGTTGCATTGCTCTATATACAGAGGTTATCCAGATTCGTGGCAAGGCTCTGTAGTGGTCAGTTGTTGGTGCTGAAGTCTGGGATGTGAACTTTGGTAATGAAAGTGTTGCTCTTTTCACCTGTTATGAACCTTCTGGCAGATATTAATCACGATAAACGAAGAACCTTATCATGACACCGTAGATCATTAGAACCCTGCTATCATATATTTATGCAATAATCTGACTCTGGATGATTCATCCCAGAGATAGCCAGCTGAAGGTGCAGGGGACCTCATTGAAGAGGTCCAGGAGGTTTGTTCTGGACACTCTCAATGACGATCATTTAACTTGTCAGGACAAGGACCATTTGGTTCATGTTGCACTTTGAAAATCTAAAACCACTGTGTAACGTATCAAAGACTGGATCTGATGGATTTTTCTACCTTCAGCGTGACTGACTTACAGAGTGTCTCTCATCATGGAGTACTTCAAGACTTTCTTGAGAGGCATTTAGAGTATTTCATTATACTTCAAGACTGTGGATGAGGTTTTGGTCTTCATTCATAGTTGTACACCAGCCAACTTTACCTCAGGTGTGCTGTCCAGCCTTGTGTCCATCGTGCAATGTAAATATTGTATTAAGGCTAGCTTGTGTGTGATACAGTCACTCTATATACAGGCTTGGTGGTGTGAGATAGTGTAATCTTAAACTCCTAATTATCTACCATCTAGGTAGTAAGTTATGCTTCATTTCCTATAATCATTTAGTTCTGAGTTGACATACAACTTGTTTTCATTCATGATTGAAGAAGATGTAAAGTGTTACTGGTTGGTTTAACGGATTGTACTAAAGGTTGATTCAGCTGACATTGTACAGGTTAATTGTATTAGGTTGACTATCCTTTAGCTATTTTTTGTACAATAATGTTATTTGTACAAATGGGTTTTATGAACATATGCTTTACATGAAGATATGACACTGTTTGATTGACCTGGATGTTAATGAGTATGCTTGAGGTAAACATACTGATATTTTGTTGCTGACAAAATTAAAACTCACTCTGAGGATGAAAGTAAGCTGTTTCCTACTTTCCCTTTGGAAGAGGTTATCAAAGAATTGTACATGACTTGTGTCACTATTCAACTTTAGAATGATTTCAGAGGAGTTCGTATATAACTTTTTAAAAATAGTTCTCTTGAAATGACAATCAACATTTGAGTGCAACAGATGCATCTTCATCAATAAAATGACATTAAGATATGATATATCTAGAACTTATTGTAGCAGTTATGAAATGTCAGAATCAAGAAATTTCTTGGGTACTTGAAATCTCTGAAGATATTTCAATTATAAAGAATTGGAATATAAAAATAGCAGTAGTGACAAAGACTTCATAAAGAGGAACAAATTTTATGGATTGACTTCTTTATTAAAATAGATGCGATGAAACGTTGTACCAGGTTCAGCCAGTTAAAGAAGAAAAGACTTGACATTCATGTTTAATTTTAAAATCTGTAAACAGTAATTTCAAAAATTGTCCTTTGATTGACAGTTATGATGGAGGGTTTTTTGTGACCTGCCTTGTTATGTTGATCCTTGTAGAGCTATGTGCTGCTCACAAAACTCCCCAGCTGTGTTTCCCGTTACACTGCACTATTTTTACCAGCGGAGGGTGACGTGGCTGTACACGTCTGTGATATATGCTGTTAATAGCTGTGTGTCGTGTCAGTGTCACTCAGCATCAGGTCCAGTGTGACAGTTAGCCCCAGTGATATTAACAAGTTTTTATCTGACGTGTGTCTTAAAGCAGTGGGCAATTCATGATTTGAGCTTAATTTCAATTTGACAAATTTTGATTGACATTTCTGTCAACCTTAGAATCATTTATACATACAACATAATTATGTATGATATAATATATAATATACTTTTGTATATATTTAATTATTAAATAAAAAACTAAAAAATATTTAATTTAATGATCCAAATTATTTGTTTAAATTTACATAGTTGTTAAAATACTGATCATGAAGAGGTATTTTGCGATATTGAAGAAACCTCATAAAATTCTGTTAATTAGTGAAAATTCTATATGATCTAAACTGACACAGATTATATGCTGTCTGATGTTCTTACCATGAGTGTCTTTTAGAATGAATATTGATTTATTGTTCCGTTTCATTTAAGCTTGGTTTTCTTTAAAAGAGAGATCTCAGTGGAATGATCTGTCAATGTTCAATGTGACATCCTGATGCACCAGGTGGACTTGTGATCATCTTGTGTCTAAAACCATATTACCATGGCTACATTGGTCAGTGTTGTTAAGTCATGGACCTACCTGTAGAGAGAGAAACAATATTTACCAACATCTTTAGCTAGTCCTGATCTGATGATTGCATTTATTTTGTGATATTTGATCTTTTGATTATTTTAGTTGGTTGCGCATGAGAGAACTGATTACTTGATGAAGTAGGTTTTGGTTTTTAGGTTTTTACGAATGAAAGACGTTGCTTACTTCGCTTATAATATGCAATTTTTAATTTTCTTTTCACCCCATGACATCTGAAACTTGAAGGTTCTATTTTAATGAGATATTTCATATAAGTTGTGTAACAGAAGACCTGTTTTTTCTGCAGTTTTCCAGCATCCACCATAGGTGTGAGGATGATGTAAAAGTATGCTGGCAATGGGAATGGTCAAAGTTCTTACATTTATTATGAAATATTATGTATTTCTTGAAAAAGAAAATTGGTCTTTTACTCGAGTGACATAACGTTAGAAAATGTGTAATGAATACAGGACATTTTTCTATTATGGTTATATATTTATTGGGCCTTGGTTGTGAGATGATGATTATAACATGGTTTGAGTTTTAACTTGTTAAAAGGAATATTTGAGTCCACCAGCAAACAATGTTTGTTTTGAATTAGCATGCATGAAAGTGATACAAATGGATGTCCTGTTATCAACATTTTTATGAAGTGTATGTAACCATGACAAGCAATTTTTGTTAGAAATAAGCACAAACCAGTTGTAGGTTTTTGTAAAAAAAATGTGTTTATATCTGTACTGAAAATGGTAAGTGAAGTTTATTTTGGCCCATTTGAGCAAAAACAAAGTTTGAAAAGAAAGAATATACACTTGAACATTACAACAATTGGAAACAGATTGATAAAATAGATTAGAAAATTAATATATTGCTAACCAAACATGTTTCATAATCTATTCTTTTTCTGTTAAATGTTTGTTTCTGTTTGCGTTTGTTTTATCAGCATTAGTCTCAAGTTCTTGAGTTCTGTAGCTAGACCTAGCATGCTCTAGTGCTATGTTAGCTGGGTGAGATATGAAGTGTATCTGTCATATTACATTGCAGTATCTAATTTATTTGCACATAAAAAGTTGTATAAACAGTTATATCATATGTAAATAAAATGCATTTATCCTACTGAATGTGTTGATGTTCAGTCTACTAGACATGTGTTGTTCAGAACAGTTTCAGTAAAATGAAACCATCATCCAGTATGACTGCTTATTTTGGAAGAAAGCCAGGCAGCATACCTGTTTTCACAAGTATTTTTTTTACAGGTTTTAACTAATTTCAATACAATGTGTCATGTTTGTTTTAACATGAGGGTCACTGTGCCCCAAAAATGTATGAATGTTGGTTTAAAACCCAAATTTGGCACATTTGTCAGTTCCATACATTATAAATGGCCATGATCTTGGTCCCTTCCCCCATCAACTGATACAACCTGACATTTTTGGGAGGCATGTAGAAGTTGCTATTCAAGTCTAAGACTAAACATTATGGACGTCCACTTCCTCTTTATTGTATACACAACATTTATTCACCTAGACGAAGGGGCAAGGAAAAGCCCAGAAACATGCCAATATGATCAATCAGTCATTCTGTTCATATCAAGAAGAAACTAATAATGAATACAGTTACATGCTTGAGAAGTGACTGATAAAGTATCTTACAAAGGTTGCAACTTTCTTCTTAGGAAATGACCAATAAGTGTTCTGTTGTGTACATCCCGAGAAGATGTTGAATGCAGTAAAATCAGCTATGTGAGAAACTGATGATGGTATGTGAAACTGAATGAGGGGAAGAAGCAGAGTGAGGATGTGAAGCTGAATGAGGGTATGTCAGGCAGAATGAAGGTAAGTGATGCTGAATGAAGTGATGTGAAAGCTGAATCTGAATGAGGTATGTGAAGCTGAATGAAGGAATGAAGCTGAATGCATGAGGTATGTGAAGAATGAATGAAGATGGTATGTGAAGCTATGTGAATCTGAATGAGGTATGTGAAACTGAATGAGGGGAAGTCAAGCAGAATGAAAGTATGTGAAGCTGAATGAGGGTATGTGAAGCTATGTGAATAGCTGAATGAATCTGAATGAGGGAAGAAGCAGAGTGAGGATGTGAAGCTGAATGAGGGTATGCCAAGCTGTGAAGCTGAATGAGGGTATGTGAATCTGAATGATGATGGTATGTATGTGAATGATGTTATGCCAAACTGAGGGTATGAGGGCTGAATGAATTGTGTGCCAAGCTGAATGATGGTAGCAGAGTGAGGATGTGAAGCTGAATGAGGGTATGTCAGGCAGAATGAAAGTATGTGAAGCTGAATGAGGGTATGTGAAGCTATGTGAATCTGAATGAGGGTATGATGGTATGTGAAACTGAATGAGGGGAAGAAGCAGAGTGAGGATGTGAAGCTGAATGAGGGTATGTCAGGCAGAATGAAAGTATGTGAAGCTGAATGAGGGTATGTGAAGCTATGTGAATCTGAATGAGGGTATGTGAAACTGAATGAGGGGAAGAAGCAGAGTGAGGATGTGAAGCTGAATGAGGGTATGTCAGGCAAAATGAAAGCTATGTGAAGCTATGTGAATGTGAATGAGGGTATGTGAATCTGAATGAGGGTATGTGAAGCTATGTGAATCTGAATGAGGGTATGTGAAGCTGAATGAGGGTATGTCAGGCTGAATGAGGGTATGTGAAGCTATGTGAATCTGAATGAGGGTATGTGAATCTGAATGAGGGTATGTGAAGCTATGTGAATCTGAATGAGGGTATGTGAAGCTGAATGAGGGTATGAGAAGCTGAATGAGGGTATGTGAATGAAGGTATGTGTGAATGAGGGTATGTGAATCTGAATGAGGGTATGTGAATCTGAATGAGGGTATGTGAAGCTGAATGATGGTATGTGAATCTGAATGTTGGTATGCCAAGCTGAATGAACGTGTTTGAAGCTGAATGAGGGTACGTGCAACTGATTCAGGTTAAGTGGAGCTTAATGATGGCGTGAAGCTGTCACTGTGACTCCAGTCTGAAGGTGTTCCTCAACGACCATGTTCAATGCTGATCACAGATCATCAAAATAGAAATTGTTCCGCTTTATTACATATTTTAACAGGAAATTGTTTTGTTTTAAATTCACACATATACTGGCTTCAAAACTATAATTCGAATGTTGGCATTACCAAACAAATTAAAATGTATTGGACATGAGAGATCCGCGTCTTCAGCAACCCATGCTTGTCGCAAGCGGTGACTGACGTAATGGGGTGGACTGGCTTGCTGATGCGAGATCACAATCTCGTTTGCGGACATACGTCACAGAGATGGAATATTGCAGTATATGGCGTTAAACAAGAAACAAACAAATGTATTGAGCATGGTTGTATTTCACTAATTCATGTGCGAAGGATAACAGTTATGTAATCACGCCTTTGTTAAAGGTTAATCTGGGAAACCCTCGTGCGTGTTTGGTTGACAGAAACAAAATAAGGTAACGCCAAAACTGGTTCGTAGAAAACGCTTCCTTCGAAACACAGCTGACATCAGATTTTCCTAGGAAGATCTTCACGAACTACGCTGCAGCTTCAGTAACACCATCGTGACAACATGGACCACATCTACGACGTAAGTATGTAATTGCGTCTAATTAGCCAGGTCAGATCCTTGTGTCCACTTCCGGCGGTAACGATGAAGTGTGCTGAATCAGGATCTGTGATGGTCGTGGTCCGGCTCAGCAACTGGAACATGTAAGTAACGTTATGCTTTGTATAGCAACCTTGTCATAACACTCAACAAGCGTATCAAGTGACATACTCAACGCAATTCATTCTACAATATAACTTTCACCAGTGATTCATTCGGAATTGCACAGTCGACTTTGCTTTTAGTAGAGATTTAGTATTTGCTTTTAGTTTATCATACAGCATACCACATAGCAGATGCCCGACTGGTACACATTATACTGATTCCGAGCCGACCAGTCCTTGTTTTATCCCTTTAATACCTAGAGGCAGGCAGGGTAACAACAAGTCCCATCTTTTAACATCTTTTCGAAAAACGAGACCGGGACTCGAACCACCGACCTTTCTCCCCGGACATACAGACCCTCTATTCACTAAACCACAGCTCCTTCCACTATTTATCTTAAGTAGCCCAGTGGGGTTGTTGCCAATTGAGGAATTTTTCTCCCAAGAGCATCATATAATCGGAACAACTAAATATTTCTCATTTAGAACAAATCAAATAAAAAAACACACCCCTTTGCCCATGATATACACATTTCCTTAATGTTGTTATTATACCTTGATCCATTCAGTTTTCATTCATCAAAACAGTTAATGTATCAACGTACCAGAGCGCACATGAGCGTGAATGTGGTGATTACTTGTTGACTTCAACTTGATAATGCTGATATAATTTTCATATATTGGACATTATCAATACAGAGACTCTCATGAACATTATAATAAATAAATTTCCAATGACCTTGATATCTATAATATATTATATACTGAACATCATTGAAAACGCACCACCTGTAAATTTTGAAATATGGTAATAGGATTGTTTTGAGAGTGAAAATGAACGTTGGAATTGTTGTTAATAACACAAAAGACAATAAATAATGCTGTACAGTAAAGAACGGATTGCCTGAACACGTCATGGAACACATCACATGACAACAACAAAATACATGCACAACAGACACGAAAAGCACAAATTGCATGTGTAAAACATGCTGATTAGGGGTATAAATGTCCGTCGGCAAAAAACCGTTCTCATTTTAGCTGTACCTCCGCAAGTAAAGTTTATTTTGCAATGCCAAGATTGTCACCAGAAGAACGAGAACGGGGGCCGGGCATGTTGCAGGTTGGCACATCAAGCAGGATTATTGCCAGACGATTTGGTTGCCATCATTCTACCATCATAAGACTTGCCAACAGGTACCAACAAACAGGAACCACCAGGGACCGCCAACGTCCGGGCCAGGCACGTGTTACCACCGCTCGCCAAGATCGAGACATTGTTCGGAGCCATATTCGGGATCGTACGTTGCCGGCTGCCAGAACCGCCAACGCTGTCCAAGGCCGACGTGGTTTGATCAGTGCTTCCACCGCCCGACGCCGTCTCCGTGCGGGAGGATTACGATGTCGACGCCCTTATGTTGGACCCATCCTAACTGATAGACATCGCCGTGAACGCCGACGATGGGCTGAACAGCATCGTTTGTGGTTGTTACGACGTTGGCATGGTGTTGTGTTCTCCGACGAGTCACGTTTTGACTTGCGAAATGCTGACGGACGTCTACGAGGATGGCGTCGAAGGGGAGAACGTTACCATCAGGACTGTGTTGTGCAAACAGATCGATGGGGTGGAGAAAGCATTATGGTGTGGGGAGGATCAGTTATCATCACAAAACCGCTTTGGTAGTTTGTCGTGGCAGAGTGAATGCCCTTTACTACCGTGACACCATTCTTCAGAACAACGTCGTTCCCTTCTTTAACCAACATCAAGATCTGGACACATTTCAGCAGGACAATGCTCGAGCGCACACTGCACGTGTTGCAACAAAGTTTCTGGCAAACAACATTCCTCTACTTCCATGGCCTGCATTGTCACAAGATTTGTCTCCTATTGAACACTTGTGGGATTACATAGGCCACCGCCTCTCACGTCGCCCACAGATCAACAACCTTGGGGAACTTGAGAATGCCTTGCAACAAGAGTGGAATGCATTGCCTCAAAACATTATTCAGAGATTTATCAGTTCAATGAGGAGACGGTGCACAGCTTGTGTTGCTGCTAACGGTGGTCATACACGTTACTGACTTTCCAATTTGACTCCATCTTTCTTTCATGGTCAGCTGAATTAAAACTTCACTGTTTTGCTGGATTTGTTCTTGTTTCTTTTCTTTACCAATCATTAGACTACAAAAGTATGTAAAATTTACACCGATTGCTCATTTATGCTCTTGGAAATCCAAACTAATACAGGTGGTGCGTTTTCAATGATGTCCAGTATATATACCACTCAGCTGTTAGGTGTCGCAATCCCCCTACAGCAGTGGCCCTGGTATGCATTATACTCATGTATCACAAAGCCTCCAGTGACAAACAAGGCAGTGAAATTTAAATAAATGAAAAACAAAATTCAAAAACTGACCATCAACCTGATGTTTAAAACCAATAATTACTTACAATTAATAGAACATTTTCTAGGGTATTATATTCTTAAGGTAACTGAAAATTGCCAACAAAAACCCCATGAAATTAGACGTGTAGTGGAAGGAAGACATCTTGCGTGACTTATCAGCTGTAAATGGAAATATAATATTTTGAAAACCATTTTCTATTTTACGACTGGCAAATTATTGACATGACAATGATGTTAAGGGACATTCATCCAAACATCTGGCCGAATGCATTTGTGTTAATTAAATGAACAGACTTGATACAACATTCTCATCTGCAAAATACAAGAAAGGTTTGTAGAGAAACTTTAGACCATGGTACTTTTCCTACACAATATTTATCGGAAAAGTTTTAGTCTGGTATTGAATGATGTTCTATCTAGTAGTAGTAGTAGTGGGGAGTCGTCTTGGTCGTAGTCGTAGTCGTAGTATGTGTGTCTGGAAGGATAGGAGATGTTCAGTGCACTTTTCTAACCACTTAATAATGTACGTGTTCTGCTACATTTAGAGTTTTTTTTCAGAAACCTTTTTCATCTGTACAAAAGGGCGTGGTCAAGAAGGAATATATTGTTGTAGACATGTTCTTCTTTATTGTGGAATTGAGTCTTAGTGGACTTTAATTAACAAGATAAATTTACAAATGTCCTAAATTTGTAAACAAATAGCTATGACAATAAAGTGAGTACTTATATCCAGATCCTGTAAATTCCTTGTACAAAAATAGTTCGCAATGATCTACTTATAACAACAGGGAAAACGTCTGTAGAGTAACAGATGTGCTTACTATCTATCATACACATCACATATATAGGATAAAGACATGGAATGTTATATAAAGGCATGGGATTTTTTATATAACGTATTTGTTAATTTTACAAAAAGTATAAAATATAAAATAATTCGTTTTGCTATTGGACTGTGATCAGTAAGGACTATCAAACAAGGTTTATTCATGATGCCCATTTCTGGTGTCCCCCGCCGTGATGTTGCTGGAATATTGCTAAAAGCGGCGTAAAACCAAACTCAGTCAGTCAGTCAGTCAGTTATTCATGATGAGACCACGGTCCAATAGAGCATTGTCTGATGGGTCTTACAACTTCATAGTTTGACACCATTATATATACAAATACATGCTAGTTACGTTCTAACTTTGTGATCAACGTGTATTAACATTTGCATGAAGGTACAATTATCTATTGATATTTTGCTCTTGAATCATTATGCACTGGACATATCACAAAAGTGGTAATCATCTTCAGACCAACTTTTTTTCCCAAATACATGTACTACCAAGTCTAACAGTTCTACTATCATTGTATTATTTAGTTTTGAATTTGAAAGGTAAATAACAGCGACAAAACCCTTTCCACATCCACAACAAATTGCTGACATGTCTTTTGGAGTTACTTCACGTTTAGTGTCACACAATACTTTTCAAGAAAACTCTCAAATGTGATGTATGAAGAATGAAGTCTCAGTGACAGATACATCACTGTCATTGTGAAATAGGTTGTGTTTCAAAAAGCTAAAAGCAGCGACACCCTTTCAATAATCATGCTTAGTCGCTCATAAATTATAGAAGCAATGATTTAACAGCAAGTGTTTGTGCATCTAATATGCTTGGATAGTTCACTTACGTTAATAATCACTGAAGTATTTTGTTAAACCCCAAGATATGCCCATTTCATTTTACTGGATTTAAACGTTCCATAAAACATCTGGGCAAAGAGAGATATGTTGGTTCCAACAAATGTACCTCCAAATACCTTTCTAAACGATAAACCATTATATTGAATACAGTCCAAGAAAGGCTTTCTTAATATTTAAAGAATGTATTTGAGACAAGTACAATTGACACAATGTGGTTTCTCATAATCTGCTTGAGATGTTGCATTCTCAGGAGAAAGAACCCAGATCAGAACACATAACACGTTTTATGGATAATAACTCCTGTTTATTTTAATACCAATTTTCAGAGCTAATTCTTGCCCATTCATCAGGTAAACTTTGAACTTTAAAGCTTAAGGTATATCGATGATCAGAGATTGATCAATAGTGATCAAATATACGATTCCCTTCCATTGCCATACCCATCTGAGTTAGAAATATCAGAAACCCGTGAAATCCAATCATAGCTACATCCATGTCGAAAGATTCAGAGTGACAAGAAAAATATGTCAATTGTCCACTTTCCTTTCATATCGAGCAAGATTCTAGCCGCTACAATCCTTTGCGTCTGCATTTCACAACTGTTTGGGTACAATCGAAAATGTATGAAGAAATTATATTGAATTTGTTTTATATGTAATTGAAAATGGACGGAACAGTTGGCAAAATTGGCTATGTCTATTCAACCATTAATCACAACTTCTTACAGTTTCTGAAAAGTAATCTGGATACGTTTGAGCAAAAACTAATTGTTTCAATGAAGACAGAGGTAAGACATGACCCTTACCATGTTTGAAATTTACATTTCTACCAAACAAATACACTTATTGATCAACTGAGTTTCAAATATAGGATCATTATGATAGTTGCGATCTTTATGTTTTCAAAGTTTCAAATTAGATAATGTTTTAAAAAGCAGATGTTTGATATTAACTTACATGTTTTGCAGCATTGTGACCATACTAGATTAAGTTCTCATATTTTCGTGAAATACTTTGAACACAACAGTGCCCTATATGGTTTAGTTCTTAAAGTAGTTTATTTTATCACTGTTCACTCGATGTCATAACAAGTGACTTTTAATTAATACATCACTTACCACTAAACAACATCAAAACACACGCCCTTGATGGACTTACATTTGATACGGTTAATTTTTATCAAGAAGGATTCTTCTAATTCATGTTCTCAGAATATCAGACCGCCGTAGTCGATGGTCTTTAGTGTACCAGTGTTTATACCTTCGTATTGTAGTTCAGGGCTATCCTGCCAGTAAATGTTGTGAACGACTCACCTGCCTGACTCAACCATGTAAGCTGTTATGTCCTGAAGCATCTCCTCCCCGAGACACAGCCTTATGTACGGACATGTAGGGAAGCATCTGGCGTGCTCCATCCACGGGTCATCTCCAGCTTGCCACCCGTACACCTTACCCCTACAGTACCCGCACTTCACACGGTCAGGCTTGGTGTCCTGGGGCTCGTGATAAAACCCTGCACGTGCAAGATCTTCAGGTGAAACCGTGGACTCTTCTGGCCATTTGGAGAAGGTTGCTAGACGATGAACTTCACGGGTAAAGTCTGGGACAATGGGAGGAGATGGAACTTCAAAAGGAGATGGAACTTCAGATGGAGCTTTGTTCTGGATATTTGAGAGCGTATTAAGAGCCTCTGAGGGAACTATAATGTCTTGCGGTGGTTTAAGGGGTAAGCCTGACGTTCCTGCTAGTGCTTCTTCTGTTGAAGTGTGTGCATTAGGTAATACACTACCTTGGATTTCGCAACACGGAACTAACGCATGACTGTTCCCCCTTCCTTGATATGTTGTTTCTGCGACCTCTTTAGGGTTTCCTTGACTTAACGGAATATTTCCCACTTCCTTGCCCTGGAGGAACCTGCAGTAAGGGAAGTGACTCTGGTGTTCTGTAAGGGGGATATCATCCAGTTTCCACATCTTGAGCACCCCAAGGCAGAAGGCACATTTCACACGATCGCCACTTCCGGTGTAAAAGAAACCAGCTTCGGCTAGCCTGGCAGGATCCTGTGAGGACGACGACGGCCATTTTGTGTACGTCATGAGCCGCATTGTCTCGTGCCTCATCATCTCCGCCGTGGCCATCTCCGTCGCTGTATCGTCCCTGTCACAGCTCGCACTACCAACCTTGCAATAACTACTGAAGAACGACATATGTAATCTCTCGAATAGTAACCTTGCAGTTTTATTCGAAGTAAAATCTTTGGCAATTCTTGAAATAAAACTGCAAATCCAGATGCAGGATTAAGTTAATATGTTTTTTAGAAATCACATATTTTCAGACACGCACCAGGACGATAACACCTATCTACCAGACTCGTCACATACATCACCCGTGATGGCGATTTGCCGCACTGCACATATACCAACCCCTGCACACTGAAGCCATCCTACAGGTCTGCGTGCAGTTCTGGGTTATGTGGCTCAAACAGAAAAATCCCCTCCTGGCCTTTCCACAGCTGCATGACATCATGCTGAAAAGCTGTGCATATTCATGAGGGAATTTCCCAGGGAATATTGTGGGTGAAGTTTGTTATGGAAGATCCGAGATGTGTGCCCATGTCTACAACAGCAATGCTATGTCAATAGTTACATCAATGTCTATAGTACCAGCTGTGCTTTCACTACAGACATAAGCACGCATTTTGGGTGAGGATTAGCGATCTAATATGTAATTGGTAACATTGCCTGGTTAAATTGCTGGACAATTTATAGAATTGATGTGAGCATTGTGAACTGTATGAAGGTATTTCACTCCACGACGTCCATGAATATATACGTGCTGTAGTTCCAAGTGTTGTCGATGTAAACAGACGTATATTGATACAGACAGCACATACATTAAGTGTTGTTTAACGACTTTACGCAATCAGCTTCCCGTTATTGCACCCAGTTTGAACTTAGATAATTAGAGGGATAATGGACACAACGATTTGCAGAAACACAGAACAATTGTAGGATGAATGAAGGAATGGAAAGGAAGAAGAACAAAGACTATCTTAGAATCTATTGCCTTCAAACTGTCCTTCGTGAAAATACGACCACGAGTGTCTTATAATGGTTCCTTTGCCAATGCTGTTCTTGATGACAATAAACAAATTATAATTTGTGCTTCAGATATGTGTTTTGGTAGTGATCCTTATACCTTTGTCAAGCAAGAGTGAAGTAATACTGTAGAGTACAAGGGTCCCATTTAAGAAATTATCTTGATGCATTTTAATGTTGGATGTAATAAATCTACACTATTAGGCTTCAATATTAGTGCTAATCTATGACCCTAATAATTATACCACTGCTTCCACACTAAGCATGAGTAAGATACATTTCATAATAACAAATGTTTCATAGATTATGTAGATATTCAGACTCAGACTCAGACTAGTTTATTCAATACTACAGGCCTTATGACCTAAGGTACAATTACAGCAGAATATTATATTTTGTCACGTGGAGGTGATATAATACACAAAACTTATAATTAAGAACGGAGTGGATTAAATACATGCTTCAAATATAATGATAGTAATTTGATTGTTTGTGGATTTTGTGAAGAAATAAGTTTGATGAAGTTACATTTGTTTGGCACAACAGAAGTTAACCAAGGTAAATATTTCATTCGAAGTGCAGAATATTTTGGACAGGAAAATAGTACGTGAACTTCATCTTCGATGTTGAGATCCATGCAATGTTCACAGCAGATGGTATAGTCGTACTGTTGTTTCTCCTTCCTGTATGCATTTACCTTCAGATTGTTCAATGCTATTCTGAATTTACAGAATGCACGTACCAAAGACTTGTCTTGGAGACAAGTAATATATGTTTCTGTGTTAAAATCAGTTTTAAATCCAGAGTATAATGACAGATAACCTGAGGTAGAAATAGACAAATGTCAATCCTGGATAAAGATATCCTGTAACCTTTGTCTGAAAGTGCTGATAAATGACTTCTCGTCACCAACTTGTTGTGATAACCAGGTCCATGCGAAACCTATTCTTTACTTCTCATGGATTACAGACTGGCAACAGAATGTAGGGTCCTTGAGGTAACGAATATATGGCATGTCAGCTTATAGTCATGTACATGTAAGCATTTCTCACGCGGGAAGTTAATACCTGCTAACCCTCAAGGTGGCAAGTGTCAGCATGTGTAACAAGTCCCTCCCTGTGAACCAGATTGATACAAAGCTCTCAGTGGTGGTCACGTCATATTAATGCGCTACGAGGAAGTCTGCGACAGTAATCTTTTTAAATCAACACTTGACCACTTCATTATCATATGTTAAATACTTTGATGATCTTTAAGACATGTCCTTTTATCAGAATATTCTCTGCTGTCATTGCGCAACTGGAATTGGAATTGGAGGTAAACAGATGTGTTAGGTACCCCAGTGTATCACGTACAGTGAACCCTTGTATCATGTACCCTGGTGTATCACGTACCCTGTTGTATCATGTACCTGCTGAAATAAGTCTAAGGTTGGATCATGTACCCCGGTGCATGACGGACTCACCATGTATCATGTACCTAACCGTATCATGTACCTTGTGTGCCACTCTTCCTGGTGGACCGTGTACCCTTGCGCATGGCGCCTCTTGTGCATCGTGTCCCTTGCATCGTGTATCAAGTTAAGTGGTCTACCTTTGTGGAACACGAGTACCAGTATATCATGTACCCTGGTGTATCAAACAAACTGCAGCTGGTCCATCTTGCGCACTGTTGTATCAAGTACCCGAGTGTATCACGTACCTTAGTGTATCACTTTACCGAATGACTAATGTTCCTGGGTTATTGTGTGTACCCTAATGCACCAGATGCCTTTTCTGCATAACGTACTTAAGTATATTCAGTCACCCTGGTACATCACGTGTCCCATTGAATCAGTTACCCTGGTACATCACGTGTCCTAGTGAATCAGTTACCCTGGTACATCACGTGTCCTAGTGCATCAGTTACCCTGGTACATCACGTGTCCTAGTGTATCAGTTACCCTGGTACATCACGTGTCCCAGTCCCAGTGCATCAGTTACCCTGGTACATCAAGTAATCAGTTACCCTGGTACATCAGTGAATCACCTGGTCCGTAGTGAATCAGTTACCCTGGTACATCACGTGTCCCAGTGAATCATTGGTACACCAATCAGTGAAGTTACCCTGGTACTTGGTATCCTGGTACATCACGTGTCCTAGTGAATCAGTTACCCTGGTACATCACGTGTCCCAGTGAATCAGTTACCCTGGTACATCACGTGTCCTAGTGAATCAGTTACCCTGGTACATCACGTGTCCTAGTGAATCAGTTACCCTGGTACATCACGTGTCCTAGTGCATCAGTTACCCTGGTACATCACGTGTCCCAGTGAATCAGTTACCCTGGTACATCACGTGTCCCAGTGAATCAGTTACCCTGGTACATCACGTGTCCTAGTGCATCACGTACCTTGGCACAACACATTCTTAGGTGTATCACGTACCTTGGCACAACACATACCTAGGTGTATCACCTATAATGCTGTATCACCGACATCTACATAGGTGATCTTGTGTATCACAAACCCTGGCTGCTATCACTATGACTCGATATATATATCTGATTACTTGTCTGAGGTCTAAAATGATCAGCTGCATTTGAAATATCAATAGAAACTCTCACCAAATGAACTGTCTGCTAGAAATCTCATGCCCATACCTTAACACGGTCCAGAGTCTGTGTTGACACTCCATCACTCCAAGTATGGTAACACAATCCACATATCTAGCATTACATGAACGAGAGCAATGGTCACGGCTAGCAGCTCTTCTGTCTGGCAGAGCCACGAGAGAGTTGGGTTTTCCCAGTCAAGACCCTATTTTTAGCTCGACCCTGGATGGTTTTCCCGACCAACCTCAACACTGCCACTAGCTTTAAGAGGTTTATGCTGTCATGCCAACTGTCATTTGATACAAGGATAAGTAGGCGAATAAATATTTTAGCATATACAACTCATTGTCGAAGCCGTTAAAACAACTGTGTCAAGTTCAGTTGTTCTGCTAGACTGTACTAAAATATACTGAAAATGAAACAGAAAAGTACAGTTAATACAGTAAGAGTTGGTAAGACATAAGCATTTAATGATAACAATTTTCACAAACAGTTTTAAAAGTTATACACAGTTATAACACGAACGTATTTTTCAAAATCGTTTAACCGATAAATAACGATAAAACAGTTCCCACAAATAGACAAAATATCAGTTATGAATAGATTTCATTGTGCGATGTCGACAATACCATATATAAGCACGTATTGTTTGAATCGTTTAAGCAGGGCTTACTCCTCCTGAAGGTTATAAATACACATTGCTTATGACAAGAAATTGTTGGTATGTATATACTGCATATACTATCCTCCTGAAGCACCTATAACGAGACCTTTGCAAAATCAAATATACAAAAGACCTGCTAGAAAGACGAAGACTAAGGTTTCTGTCTATAGTTTATTATCATGTACAATTTATGAACAAATAGTTCTACGTGTTTTCATTTTTCAATTATATGACAATCCCATCGGTCACTTTAGGCAGCATATATAATCGAGCACAATACATGAAATGTAAGATTACAGAATTGTTAAACGTATCACCAATTTAATTTTTTCCCTTTTCTTTGTTGGTTCTTTCTTTAAAACATTTTTGGTTTACAGCTAAGACGCGTACACTGTCCAGCTTTTTTAATATACTAGATCTGCTTCCCATTAAACTGCATATGTACGTAACAAAGTTTATTGCACTCTTATACAGAACATACTTACTAGACAAGCTTAAAGCGGCGGTCACATCTTACGGACACGCACGTAGTTGACCGTAGTGGGGGAATGAACGTAGTAGACAGTAATAGACCGTAGTAGACCGTAGTAGACCGTACTTGTGAGTGAGTTGGAGAGTTTAGTTTTACGCCGCACTCGGCAAAATTCCAGCTATATGGAGGCGGTCTGTAAATAATCGTGTCTGGACCAGACAATCCAGTGATCAAGAGCATGAGCATCGATCTGTGCAATTGGGAACCGATGACATGTCAACCAAGTCAGCGAGCCTGACCACCCGATCCCGTAAGTCGCCTCTTAGGACAAGCATGGGTTACTACGTTCAAATGAGTTACGGTCACCAATGTTCATGACCGTAAATGACCTGTACATAACAGATTTTTACACTCTCACACAGAATATACTCTTAGACACTGCACCCTCCTGTGTAACATGTACATAACAG